AGACGTGGGTTGTTCTTCAGGATGTGCCGTTATGTGTTTGTAGTAAACAGTTCTTAACAAGCATTGGTATTAGGTGGGGTGAGACAGTAGCGATCGATGCTGAAACTCTTAATCGGTCAAGATTTGATGAAGCCAGAATATTAGTCTCCATTTAACAAATATCCAGTATTCTGGACAGAATTGTTGTCATTGTCAATGGTCGGGCTTTCCCAATTAAATTGAAGACAGAAGTTTATGATGGTGATCGGAAATTCCTTGACGAAAAACTGGTGTTTGATCCGCCATACGAAGAAGAAAACACCATGGCGGTTGACATTCTAGGTCCTAATGAGTGTGCAATTAACGAGGCAGAGAATGTTTAGTCGGTGTCTTCAGGCTCGAGGTAGCAGGAAAATGATTTTGCGGTGCAGGAGTGTAATTTTGTTACCGAAGCGACTGTGGGTCGGACTTTTTCAAGCAGTGCCAGGCTGCATGAGGTTCCTATCAACATGGGTTTTGGGCCCGCACATGTGGTGGAGAGGAGTGCCAGTGGGCTTGTTGGTGAAACAACTATATTGAGTATGGGGCTAGCCATTTCTAATGAATCAAAACTGCTGGATGTTCCAATTAATGTAGCCCAGAATGATGATTTTCAAGTTCAAAGTCACCTAGTGGAGGGTGTGCCAACTGTTGCCTCCGTAAGACAAGTGTTGATAGGCGTTAACCAATTTGGAAATTTTAATGCTGCCATGGGAAGTGTTCTATACTTCTCTGGGTCTCTAACTAATCAATTGGGATTAAAAAATTCTAAAGGTAGGCGTTACGGGGGAAGGGGAAAAAGGAAGATCAATATGTCCCCAGCGTTGGGTCCTTTAAGGGGAAGCGGCCATTAACATGGACGTAGGAAAGAAATTGGGTGTAGTGTTTAACGCCTCGAATGGGACGGTCATGAAGAGAATTGAGGAGCTTGAGTTGGTGGATGGTGCCTGATAGCCCAGGTGTGTTTCGTTACTCCTAGTGTGTTTCGTTTTCTGTTTTAATGGAAATTTTTTTATTGTCATCGAATATTAGAGGTCCGGGCAAAGCTGAGAAAGTTAGAACAGTCAACCGAGTCGTATCATCGAGCAAAGCTTCGGTTGTTTTTCTGCAAGAATCAAAGTTATTGTCTGAGAAACCAGGGATCATACAGAGGCTCAGAGGCAGAAAATTTGATGAGTCGTTTTTTGTTCCGTCTGAGGGAGCTTCGGGTGGTGTCATAAAAAATGTTTTTTATTTGTTTTTATAACTAATTTAAAATTTTTGATTTCCTTTATTTTTTAAAGAAGTAGGACTTAAACATTTAATTTAATTATTTTGTATAAAAATATATCATTATTTACAAGAATTAAAAATAAATATATTTTAATTTATTAAAACTAGGACCAAATTGAAAGAATATATAAATAACATGGACTATTTGTGTAATTATACCATCCAGATAAGTCTATTAACTGACAGGTCACGTGTGTTTTCCGCCACTCATGTTAACGGCGAGTGACCAATTTATAACAAACGATAACATTAGTGATCGATTTGTGACTTTTAAAACATCAATGGTGAAAACAAAAAATTACCCAAACATTACTGACCATTGGAGTAGTTTACCCTAATTAATAAAGCAACCCTTTTCAAAAAAAATATTCTGACTAAAATTCATGGGTCAAATCAAAATTTATTTATTTTATTAACATACCATGTCAGGAATTAACAACTCAGTAATTAAAATAAAATAGATTAAAAACAAAAATGATTAAAATGTAATTTTTCTTAAATCCATGACTAAAATAAAACAAACAGAAAACAAAATAGATCACAAGTATAGTTTACCCGTTGTTTTCCTATGAAATTTATCCATTAGTTCATGCAAATTGCATCCATCCATCGGTTTAATATGAGACACATAACTATGCTTTTATGTACTCTATATATTTAGAATTAAAATTTAATCTTTTTTATTAAAATATATAATTTAATGACATTATAAAATAAATTCTTAAATTTTATAAAATTTAAATTCAGATGTAAAGGTTAGATATAAACATTTATAGTTTTAGAGTACTTTAATATAATAGCCAAGTCCAAGTATTAACAATTTGGGCATGTGTTTGGAATTAATTAACACTGATTATTGTACGCACCACCGTTGGTTATTAATTAAGGAAAAATCAAATAAAGCAACAAATAAAAGTCTTACTTTAATAGTTGGTGAATAATTAAGATATTACCATATATTATATTAAAATAATTATATGTATACATTAAAAGAATTAAAAAATAATGATATGACATATAATTTTTCTGATAGAAATAAATTAATCTTGTCGATTGTTGATAGTTCATCATTTCTAATTTTGGTCGATGTTTCTTTCCGAAATAAAGTTGAACATAAGGGGAGATATGATGAAGCAAAAGAAGGGAAAATGTATGTATAATGATCTTTAGCTAGTGATGTCATATATAGAGTAATTATAATTATTTATAAACTAATGTATTAAATAGATTTCGTGGTTAAATTTTAAATCTCGTTCTGATAGGTCATACGGGCTTATGAGAGATCTTTCCTTAAAGACATATTTTTGAAAGATACGAGTTTCTTTGAGATTGCAGTAAGTTAATGAATTATCAGGAGGTCTTTACTCATAAAAAATTAATAATTTATGAAAATTATCTTCAAAGATATAACAAATTTAAAATTTACATTTGGTATATCGAAGAATTAAGTATAATTATATTTTGTTTAAGATTGTTAATAAGTGAATTAAATAAAAAATGTTTAAATGATAACTTATAATTAATTAATTTAGAAAAAATAAATAAACAAACAATAAAAGAGAAACCTACTCGAATTAGGCAACAAATAAAGGGTAGTTAAGGAAAACCGAAATAAGAAAAAGGAAGTCCAACATCGCTATTATTTATAAACCTACTAGGTCGCCATGTCTTCCTAACGAGCTAAAAGAGATTGCATGTGCCATGCACGTCCCAACACGCTGGGCATCCGAGGCCATCCGACCGAGGCCATCCGAGAGCATCCGAGGCCATCCGACCAAGACCATCCGAACGAGCTATACGAGGGCATCCGAGAGCAACCGAACGAGCTATGCGAGGGAATCCGAAGGAAGTCGAGCGAGGGTAGGTCGTCCGGAGTGCATGTGTAGGTCGCCCGGAGGGCATGACGACCTACAAGGTCGCCCGGAGGGCATGGCGACCTATGTGTTAGGACGTGCATGTGCCATGCAACACGTTCATTCTCACGTTCATTCTCTCTGTTTGAGCAAGGGTAGGTCGCCCGGAGTGCATGGCGACCTACGACCAACACTGTGGATTTCATCATATTTGAGCAATTAATCTTAGGAGTGCATTAGCTCGTGAATTAATTTCTTTCTGAACATTATCTCGAAAGTTTTGCTATTATATATAAGCCAACAAACCCAGCTCCCTTTGGACTCGAACGCTCCTCTTTCTTCGCATAACCACAAGTAACTATGCCATCAGGGGCTCCTCCGCCCCTGCCACCGCCACCATTACCATAGTCACAACAAGCACCACGCACCACCACCACCTTCACAACAAGCACCATCACCACCGATTAGAATCACCCGAACCAAAACTCCTACCGGCGGCATACTCTTGGGCAAGTATCAATTGGGTCGTTTGTTGGGACATGGAAGCTTTGCGAAGGTTCACGAGGCAACATCCATCGACGACAGCAACAAGGTTGTGGCGATCAAGATTATAGACAAGACGAAAACGGTGTAAGCCGCCATGGAACCGAGGATCATCAGTGAAGTTTCAGCCATGCGCCACTTGCAACATCACCCCAACATACTTAAAATCCACGAAGTTATGGCCACCAAGACAAAGATCTACCTTGTTATGGAGTTCGCCTCCGGTGGTAAGCTTTTCACCAAAGTTTTACGCCGTGGAAAATTAACTGAAACCACCAGTCGTAGGTACTTTACTCAACTCGTCTCCGCCTTTCATTTCTGCCACCAAAATGGCGTCGCTCATCGTGATGTGAAGCCGCAAAACCTTTTGTTGGATAAAAACGGAAACCTCAAAGTTTCAGACTTTGGTCTTTCGGCGCTCCCCGAGCAGCTAAACCATGGGCTTTTACATACAGCTTGTGGAACACCAGCTTTTACGCTCCGGAGGTTGTTCGGAGGAAAGGGTATGACGGTTCCAAGGCTGATGCTTGGTCTTGTGGGGTGATTTTATTCGTCTTGTTGGCTGGAAAATTACCCTTTGATGATAGTAACTTGATGGGTATGTATAAAAAGATTCATCGAAGGGAGTTTCAGTTTCCACCATGGATATCAAAGCAAGTGAAAACTATCATATGGCAGCTTTTAGATCCGAATCCTGACACAAGAATGAGCTTACTGAAGTTAATGGAAACATCATGGCTTAAGAAGAGTTTAACTGAATATACATCATTAAACAAGGTAGGAGACAGTTTGTTACACCACAGGAAGTTGAAGCATGACATGGTTTGTAATGGTGTTAATGCTTTTGACATAATATCTGTCTTCAGGGTTGGATTTGTCTGGTCTTTTTGAAGGGGGGAAGGAAAAGAGGTATACAACATCAATGGAGTTGGAAGTGTTGATGGAGAGGGTAAAGGAGGCTGGGGAGAGATTGGGGTATACGGTGGAGAAAGAGAAAAGAGGGGTGCTGGGATTGGGGAAAGGTAAGGTGGTGCTGACGGTGGAGGCGGTGGAGATTGCAGGGTTGTTTGTTTTGGTGGAGGTGAAGGTGGTGGAAGGCACGGTGGAGTTCGAGGAAGGACGGTGGTTGGATTTAGAAGCCGGCCATGGAAACATTTTTGTACCTTGGGATAATCATGTTGTGGGGTGATTGTAATGTATGGAAGTTCTTTGTTTCTTTCCCTTGTTCTAGTATGAATCAATGTCAATGATGGAATTTATAGGAATCTGAGTTTGCTTCTACCATCTTCAACCTAATATGCAAAATACAACACCTAAATAAAATTGTCATGGACGTTGAATTTAACTCAGCCTACCTGCTATACATAGGTGATACCTTTGATTCAAGTTATCTATGAGTTCATCTCTAGGCTATACACCATTTGGCCGGTGAACTAGAACCGAAAAATTCAGTTACTAAGAGACAATCTAAGCATAATCATCAACATTATCATCATGATTTCCATCTTCATCTTCATCCTCATACATTCCAACCACCGAGGAGAGGGTGGCCATCCATGCTTGCAAACCACTCTGAGCATCTTTCTTCCTTGTAACTTGCAGCCTGTTAACAGCGTGTTTTGGAACTCCGCATTTCACGAGGATAGATCCTAGTGATTTGAATGTACTGTCATCCGGTTGAATGCAAGCGCTCACCATTTCTTTAAAAATGCTAACTGCCTCCCTGAATCTCCCATCCATTGCATACAATCCAAGCACATTATTGTAACTCAACAAATCAGTTAGAAGTCCCAGTTCTCTCATCCGTCTTGCGATATGAGTGGCTTCCTCGAACCTCCCGTTCCTTTTATACATACATAGCATCATAGCGTATGTAAATTCATTGGCATCTCCATTTTGCTTTAAGTTCTCGAAAATCGCTTCGGCTTGAGTAACCATAGAGCGCTCGCTGTACAGATCGATCATACAATTTGAAGAATACGAGTCAGGGCGGAAACCTGATGACTGAAGTAGCCCAAAAACTTCCAGCGCTTCTTTTAGATAACCAACTTTTGTATAAAGCTTAATCAATGAGTTGTATATAACATCATTTCCAGGCAATCCAGCACTCTTCATTTCATTTACATACCTGGTAGCTTCTTTAACACTTCCAACATCAGCAAAAGCATTTATCAATACACCATAGACGACAACATCAGGCTCCACCTTTTCCTGAATCATCTCGTTGTATAGTCCTTCAGCCATTCCCAGTTCTCCTAATTTCACAAAGCCCGAGATCACAGCACAATATGGAATGCAATCACTCATAAGTCCGGCTTCCTGCATCTTCTTCAGGTAGCGTTTTGCCACGTGTGGTAAGTCTGCACTAGCCAAAATCTGTATGAGAGAACTATAACTGCATTTATCCGGAACTACACTGTGACTCTGCATGCTATCAAATAGCCAACATGCTTTATCATAGCTCGTTGCTATCCCATATGCTTTGATCATTACATTAAACTCAAGGACAGTAAGCCTCTTCCTTTCTTGGCAACAGAGAAAAATATTTTCAGCTTCGGAAACATGTCCCCTCTCCCCGAAGGCATCAATGTTGGCAGCGTAGCCCTCTGAACTCATATTCCCTGCAAGGTGAAACCTCCTGAACCATAACCATGACTTCTTGAGCATCCCAGCTTCTATGTACATTCTGGTCAGAGCAGATTGTGTATATTCATCAATTTCAAGATGTCTTTCATCCATCTCGTGTATGAGGTCTTCCGCTTCGCTAACCATTTGCCTTATCGAGTATGCATACAAGAGGGTGCGGTAAGTCACAGGATCTGGTTCAAGGCAGGCCTCCTTCATCTTTGCAAAGTAGTCTGCTGCCATCTTTATATCATCGTACTTGGCATGAAGGGATATGAGAATATTATACGTCCTCGTGTCAGGAAGGCACTTTAACTCCTCCATCTTCTTCATCAGTGAAGCAACTTCTTTCAACCGTCCATGGTTACCACAAATGTGAATCATGGTATTAAAAGTAACAGTAGTTGGAACAATCCCTTCTCTAAGCATGAGTTCAAATGTGTTGGAAGCCTCTCGAACTTGCCCTGCCTTACCATATGTATCTATCAAAGTATTATAGGTATATGAGCTCAAATGTGAATCACTTCCCACTGCACCGGATGTTTCACTTCCATCATGCCTCAAATATCCATTCAAAGACCATATCTTGAAAAACTCCTCAGCTTTTCGAAACTCGCCGGCTTTCTTATACAACTGTACGACGATCCCCATAGTTACCTCATCAGGCTCCATCCCTTGCTTATTCATCTTGCCAAGCCAACAAAGAGCTTGTTGCTTCATCCCACCTTTACTATAAATATCAATCAGAGTACCGTAAGTAGAATTAATCGGCTCAATCCCTCTTAAGCTCATCTCATTCCATAGCCTCTCAACATAGCCCCATTTATGAGCTTTACCGAGAATTCTAAACATAATGTTATAATGAATTACATTCAACTCATAACATTGTTTTCTCTTAAACCAGTCAAAAATCTCTAAAGCCCTTTCCCAACTTGTTTGCTCCTTCAAAATTATACTCCTTTCTTTATTACTTAACTTCTCAGACCATGGCTTTAATGCCTCGTCCAAGTCCTTAACGCTATCCAAAGCTCCCAAAATCGCTGGAATACAACCTCCATAAGAAGCCCATTTTGTCGAACACATGGCGTGCATTTTATCCACCGAAAATTTCCCATTAATCGCATCAAATTTAACTCTTTTATCCACAAATTTGAAACTTCCCCTCGTTTTATCTCTCCTTTCGCTGTCTGGGTTTTTCTCCAAAGTCTGACTGCTTGACTCGGGTTGATTATCAAGACCCTGTTTTCGAACTCGGTTGAATTTCTTAGTCCCTGCTCCATTGGGAGCCTCGAAAAGTCTTTGCTGCTTGTTTTTGGTGATGGCTTCGAGCTTTTCTAAAGGAGAAACTGATACTGAAACTGAAACTGAAGCTCCATTGATGTTGGGTGGTGAGATTTTCGCGGAGCATAAAACGTTGAGGCAACTGGTATCTAACTGGAGCTTCACAAACATTTTCTATTTCTCTGATAAAATGGGGTATTCGAGAAAATTTAAGTGAAGTATCGATAATTGAAGTACCAGAAACCAAGTAACATGTTTGTCTGGGGAATGGTTTTGGATTTTGAGTCGACAATTGATGCAGTCTCTTTGGCTTTGGGTTATACGTTGCCGTTTTATATCTTCCTTTCTGTTTTTCTTTCACGGTGAACTATACATATGACTTGACTTTACGCACTTATTCATTTGTAGCATTAATTATGTCACTTCACGGGTAACTCAATAATGAGGTAGTAATATGATTAACGATTATTGATATCGTATGTTATATTAAAATGATGCCACTTTGATTTAATTGTTTTGATACTTAAAATAATATCGTTTTAGATATTGATTTTTTAAGGAAATATTAATTTTGTTTTTAAACTTTTAAGGCTTAATATAAAAATAAATATCTAAATTATATCGTTTTTCTCAAAGTGGTGCTTAAACTTTTTTTCGTCAATTTAAGTGTCTAATGTTACAAACGTTACCACTTTAGGTGTCTCGATTGTAATAGCCGTCAAAAAAGTCCATTAAGTGACTCATGAATTATTTTGGTATATTTAGATTTAAAAAAACAAATTTCTCTAAAATTACAAAAAAAATCCAAATTCCTAAAATCAACCCTAAAATCCCTAACCCTAACTTTACCCACTCCATTGCCAATCATAGTCGTCATCTCGCTACCCTTGGCATCTTCCTCGTTGGCCATCTTCACCCTTGTTATCGGGTCGCTTAGGTGTCACGAATTTTGAAAGTTTGGTTCATCGGGGTTGTTTTGTTTGTCGGTTGTAATCGTGTTCGACTGTTCGCCGGGTGGAGGTTTTTTTGGAGGTATGGTTTATGGCAACGGTGGTACGCGTGGATATAGGGATTAGAATGAGGGTTTTCAAAATTTTGGGAGTTTTTTTTAAGATTTCAAAAAATTTTGGGCTTTCTTTTAAATATATATATAATTTTAAGTTTTTTAAATATAACTTTTTAAAATTTTATAAAGGTGACACATGTCATTTAACGACATAATTAATGACGTTAACGGTTCAAACACATAAAATTTGTAACGCTAGGCGCCTAGATTGACCGAAAAAAATTTAGGCACTAATTTGAAAAAAACGATACAGAGCACTTATTTTTATATTAAACCAAATTTTAAATATTTTAAATAATTTATTTTCTTGGCACTACACTTTTCGGCTATCGTCGGTAACCAATCACCGGTTGTCACCGGTCATCTTTCACTAAAAAAATTCGTACCAAAAGGTTTAAATTTTACTATTCTTTCTTCTGCTTTGATTTTTTTTTCAAGAAGTCCACTCAAAATCCACGAAACTAAAGAAAAAATTTACCATTTTTTAGATGTTTGAATATTTTCTTAGATTTACGAGATTTGAGTGTTTGTTAAAAAATTTGAACGGTGAGAAGCATTATTTCTAGAAGACGAATAACATACCTCAAATTTAGGTTTATCGGACTATCATTAAAAGAGATCGAAGTATTAATACGTCAAACTTTTAAATGGTTTTCAATGATTTTAAGTGAGTTTCGTAAAAAAATAATTCTAGAAGAAGAAAAAAAGAGTGAAATGCATATATTTTGATACTAATATTATTGTGAAAGACGATCAGTGATGGGCAGTAATTGACTATCGACATTGGTCGGGAAGTGCAGTGGCAATAAAGTAAACTATTTAAAGTATAGTAGCAAAATCGATACATTTCTCAAGTTTAGTGTCAAAACGACATCGTTGTGGACATCAATAGTTTCCGTTAACATGATGTCATTTTGGTGTGTGATAGGTTACGTCAATAACCGTTAATCATGTCATCGTCACATTACTAACTTAATGATGAAGTGACATAATTAAATGTAAAACTAAACTTCATTGTTATAAATGATAAAATTGAAAGTTTAATTGTATAAATAAATTAGTGGACAAAGTCTAGTGGTATTTGGAGTAGTATATTATGTTTTATCAAATCCTGATGTTTACGAATGTAATAAAATGAGTTTGGAAGATTACTCCAATAGTGAGCCTCTAAAAAACCCGGCCTAAAATAGTTGGTTAATGGATCAGTACCGGTGATTAAATAAAAAATGTTGAGGGTGGAATGTGAATTGTGAACCCACAACCTTTAGGATCAGAACCTTAATATGGCGCCTTAGACCTACTCGGCCATCTCAACTATTGGTTGGCATTCAAACAACAAACAATATATTGTTTTAGTATCTTATATGTCTTGCCATGTTCATACCATGGAATAAAATTAAGTAAAAAAGTTTTATAATTTTAAAAGAAAGGTATTTGTAGTCAATTCTTAAAATTTGTTTACCTAAATACTCTTAATTTTTATTTTTGTTGTTATATTAATTTTTTCTTCAACTTAGTATCACTTATATTTAATTAACTATATTATACATAATAGAGATGCTAATATTATAATCTCATAAAATTATTTATGGAGTAAATCTTAATAAATGTATTTTTAGGCTCCTGTAAAATATTTTATTTTACTATAAAATTTATTTATATATAATAGAAATATTAATCTAATTTTTTATAGATGCCAAGTCCATTAAAATTATAATTTGTGAAACAATTGAATGATTCAAGTGATTTAGAGTGATCTCTTCTTCTACGTAACACCTTCAATAACCTTGTCTACATGGATAGAATAGGATCTGAATAATTTAGGATGTTCAAACTATCAATTATTTCACTTTATAACTCATTTTTTAAACATTAAAAATTACTATAGACAAAGAGGAACGCAGCGGAGACTAGTGGGGTCATATCTCTCAAAATACTTGAAAAATTATTCTTTATACCTTTAAAATTTCAAAAATATTTAATTTTGTCCCCTCATAAATTTTTTAAAAATTCATATTAATCTTTTAAAATTTTTAAATATTCTTAATTAAACTCCTCCCATAGTTTTTAAAAATTCTCATCGAGTCTCTCAAAATTTCAAACAAATTTAGTTAAATCCCAATTATTTTTGAAAAAAATATAAACTGGACTCTTCAAAATTTTTGAAAATTTTAATGTAAACCTCTAAATTTTTTAAAGTTTTAAGTTGCCCCTCAAACTCTATCATCAAGTTTCGCCACTGACTATAGGTGCAAGTATGTTAAAACAACAAAAGAAAGGAGGGTGGGTTAACAAAATAATACAAGTGTTTTAAAAAAAAATAAAAATTATTAATATTATAAATATTTTTTTTATTTCATTACATTATGCAAGAATGATTGTTGGCTATAATTTTAGCCAACAATGTGGTGCTTCGGTTTCAGACCATTGGCACTACACAACGTTAACTTCACCTGTTCGTTTGCAATACCTCTTGAAGCGAACACCAATGTTAAGAAAACTTTCGAAGTCGGATTGCGGTCTGCAGCAAAACGTGTATGTATGAATGTATCATGTATGTATGAATGTATCAACATATCACATCGGCTTTACGCTTTCATGAGTGATTAAATTAGAGAAAATAATTTCAGTGATCGAAAATGCTTTATAATATACGATTTTAACCAACTTTTTTTGGATTTGCGAAAATGACCAACAAATTCGCAACGCGAACTCCAATTTTGCAACACAGGTTCCAAAATCGCAACGCGAATAGTTAAATTGCAACGATAATATGTAAATCGCAACGCGAATATGTAAATCACAACGCGAATTTGTAAATCGTAACACATAAGTCAAATTCGCAACATAGAAGTCAAATTCGCAAAGCACGTTTATTTTCGCAACGCGAATTTTATTTTCGAATTCGAAACACGATATTAATTTCGCAACACAAATATAAACAATATAATCATAAATCATAACCTAAAACCCTAAATCACAACTCAGTCTCATCTCCATCTCTCACTCTCTACGGCGACATCTATCCCCATCTCCGGCGACATCCGTCCACATATCCGGCGACCCCCCTCTATCTCCATCTCTCAGAGCCACCCTCACAACCATTCACGGCCACAAATGAAAAATCAACCATCGAGGGTTAGTTTTTTTTTATTTTTTTTATTTTAAAATTTTTGTATTATTATTAGATTTTCCATATTTAAATTGATAATAAATTTACTGGTAATTTCAATAATAGATTAACCATTTCACTTAGATTGCTTAGTAAATTCATTCAGTTTTTGTCTTTGTTTTGTCTTTAACCCTGTGAAGTTAGTATTTGCCTTTATTTTGTCTTTTGGTTGAAGTAATGCAATTCATTCAAGTTTCAATTTGCAAAAGAATAGTTTTTGAAACTTAAATTCGCAACACGAAAATGAAAATCGCAACGTGAAAATGAAAATCGCAATGTTGCGAAAATGAAATTTGCATTGCGATTTTCATTTCGCATTGTGATTTTCATTTTCATGTTGTGATTTTAAGTTTCAGAAACTACTCTTCTTCTGCAAATTGAAACTTGAATGAATTGCATTACTTAAACAAAAAAAAAGGCAAATACTAACTTCACAGTGTTGCGAATTTAAGTTTCAAGAATAAACTACTACTCTTTATGTTGTCCTTGAACCTGCACTAAACCTATATGTTGTCCTTTTAAATGTTTATATAAGTGCTTACTTCTGGAATGTTATCTGATGCATTTTGTGAACTATGATAGAATAATAACTTGGGTGAATACCGTGCTAGTTTGAAACATATTAGGCTTTGTTTTCACTGTTTAATATCATGTTTGTTTATAGTGTATGTTTTTGGTATATCTAACATGGTATGTTATTATTGTTTTTGTTTGGAATTTTTTTCGGCTTCATTGACTCTAAGGAATAAATTAAGCCTAGCCACTACAATTGCTAAGACACTTACACCTGTACAAAGAAAATTGTTTGAGGATACTTGCTTCGGGCCATGGCTGAAAGTACAACATCCAGGTGGAGATGCTATGTTGACCTATTTGTTTCTTCAGACCATGACTAACGATCTACCCGAGAGGATACAATGTGGTGATGAAGAGATATGGTTTCGTTTTCCACCGGCGTATACTTGTTTTGGGCGGGAGGAGTTTTGCTTAATCACTGGTCTACGCTTCGGACACAATGAAGTAGGTCGGTATACTAGT